TAAACCTACGTCTAGATATACCACAGTGAAACTGCACAGAACCAAAAACAAAGGATAAATAGCTTAAATGTTAGGGAAAAAAGAAAAAATGCCTTCTGTGTGTGACAGTAAGACTGCTGTTTGGATTTTCAACGGAAACAGTGGAGGTTGTGAACTGAAAAAAAACCTGCTAATTTTATAATTAGTGAAAATATAACAAACTAAAAGTGATAAAATTTGCCAACCACAGTCCCACACTAAGGGAACTGTTAGAATGTTCTTCAGGTGGAAGGAAAGTGTTCCCAGAGGGTAAATCAGCTATGTAGGAGAGAGTGAAGGAGCAAATATGCTGTAAATATGTGAGTAAATCTAAGTGAATCTTGACTGCATGAAGGAATAATGATGATTGTTTATGGAATTAAAAAATATATGAAATTAGAATTCACAACAACATTTGCCTATATACTGGGAAGGGTAAATGGAATTGCATTCTAAGACTTTACATTGCTCTGAAAAGGATAAAAATATCAATAATAACAGATTTTGATAAGTCCAAGGATATATGTTTTTATTTCTAGGTTAATCCTAAGAGAATAATAATTTTTAAAATATAGGGTTATATGGAATAACAAAAAGTAATCAAAAAGAAGGTAAGAAGGAATACAAAAGAAGGAATCCAAAAGAAGGCAAGAAGGAAAAGACAAATATAGGACAAATGCAACATACAGAAAATATATGAGATAGTTGATTTAAACCCACAAATATCACCAATTACAAAACGGACTAAATGCTCCAAATAAAAAGATTGTCCTACTGGATTTGAAATAGCAAATTAAAACTCGGTGCTCTTTACAAAATGCTTGAAGACAAAAAGATAGAAAATGATATATGATATAAACACTAACCAAAGTAATGTTATAGCAATTATACCAATTATAAGATTATACCAATATCAAGATAGATCTTAAGGCAAAAAGCATTATTAGAGGTAAACTGAGATACATCATAATGATGAAAATTTCAATTAGTAACCTATAGATACATAATAACATGACCTTAAAAGTATAAAAATACCCATAGACACAGAGAGAGAGAGAATTACAGGGAGAAATTGATAAATTCACAATAATAATGGAAGACGTTGACACAGTTTTCACAGTAGCTGATAGAACAAGCAAACAAAACACCCTATCATGATAAATAAAATGTGCCTAAAAAATGGCCTAATGTTCATATATGTAGCCCTGTGCCCAACTACTATAGATTATCCATTCTTTCTAAGCACAAATGAAATGTTTATGTTTAATAAAATTGACCATATATTGGCCATAGAGTTAGTCTCAACAAAATCCAACAGATTGAAATCATATAACACGTCTCAGACCACAATACAGTCAAGTTAGAAATAAATAACAAAAAGACAACTAGAATAACCACATTGGTTTGAATACAATCAAATACAAAAACTTCTGAATAGCTCATAGATCAAAATAGAAATCACAATAGAAATCAGAAAATAATTGGAAAGTGAATGTTAATGAAAAGATGATATCAAAATTGATGGGATGCAAAGATTTGCTTCGAGAAAACTTCATAGCCTAAATTAGAAAAGGAAATGGTTGAAACATCTGTGAGCTAAGTGTCCCCTCTGGAAGACAGAAAAAGAGAAGCAAAATATACCCAAGGAAAATAGAGAAATGATGTGAAAAGTAAGAGCAGAAAACAGTGAAATAGAAAATAAACATACAACTGAGTGATTGATTAACAGAGAAAAAAGTTGATTTTTTTGAAAAATGGAATAAAATTGATAAATCCCTGTGTGACTGATTAAGAAAAGAGAGATGACCCAACCTGAAGGAAAAAGGGGACATCACCATAGATCATTTAGGCAATAAAAAATCATAAAAGAATATTCTGAAAAACTTAGTGTCAAACAATTTGAAAAATTTTTTAAATGGGCAAATTTCTATAAAAATCAGCACATAGGATCAGACACAAGAAGATATAGAATTCTGAATAGTCATAACTATTAAATAAATTTAAAATCTTTCCCAAACAAAATTCTGGATCCAGTTGGCTTTACTGGTGAATTCTACAAAACATTTAATAAAGAAATAACATCGATTTTAAACAAATTGTTTCAGAGAGTAGAAAAAGAGGAAACAGTCCTTAACTCATTTTATTAGGTCAGAAAAACCTTGACACGCAAACCCAACAAGGACGTTATCACAAAGGAAAATTTCAGGCCAATCTCACTCATAAACACAGAGGAAAAATTCTAAGCAAAATATTAACAAATTGATTGTAACAATATACATGAAGGATGCTACATTGGGACTAAATTGGGCTTATATGAACCAATGCAAAGTTATCATATTAGATAATTCTTCCTTTTATTTTGCATTATTGAACTAAAGGAGAAAAATTAATACATTTACCCCAATAGATACTAAAATGTCATTTAGAAAACTTGAACTAGGAATTCATAACTTAAAAAAAAATAAACTCTTTTAAAACTAGGAATGGAAGGGAATTTCCTTAATCTGATTTAAAAAGATCTATTTTTAGAAACCTACAGAAACAACACACTCAAGACTAAACTATTGAACAGTTTTCCTTTGTTTTGAGGAATAAGACAGTCAAAATCTAATAGATTCTAATTTTTGTAGAATTTAATAAGTTGATTATAACATTGTATGAAAAATGCAAAGGTTGAGTAATAGTCAAGATGCTTTTTTTTTTTTTTTTTGTGAGGAAGATCAGCCCTGAGCTAACATCTACACCAATCCTCCTCTTTTTGCTGAGGAAGACTGGCCCTGAGCTAACACCCGTGCCCATCTTCCTCCACTTTATATGGGACGCCTCCACAGCATGGCCTGACAAGCAGTGCATCGGTGCGCGCCTGGGATCCGAACCTTGGCCGCCAGCAGTGGAGCGCGAGGACTTAACCGCTACGCCACAGGGCCAGCTCCAGTCCAGACACTTTTAATGAAGAAGTGTATGGGAGGACTTGTGCTATCAGATTTCAACATTTATTAAAAAGCTACAGTAATTTAGACAGTCTAGTCCTGATACAGGGATAGACAGTGGAACAGAATTGAAGGCCCAGAAACAGATCCACACATGTGAGGCACTTGATTTTGACAAAGTTGACACTACAGAGAAGTAGGGAAAGTGCCATCTTTTCAATAAACGGTACTGGACAATTGGATGTAATATAGAATAAAAGGCAACTTGACCCGTTTCTCATACCATTTGTAAAAAATAATTTTGAGTGCATTGTAGACCTAAATATGACAAAACAATAAATTTCTAGAAAAACATCTTTACGATTGGGGTAAGTAAAGCTGCAAAAAAATAAGGACATGAAAGTTAATAGTCTTGAAGGAAAAATTGATAAGCAGGACTACATCAAAAATAAGAATTTCTGATTATTAAAAGACATTAAAAGAATGAAAAGACGAGCCACAGACTGGAAGAAGATACTGGCAGTAAGTGGACAAAGGCCACATATCCGGAATCTGTGAAGAACTCCTCCAAAGTCATAAGGAAAAGACAATCTAGTAGAAGGAAAGACGCACCACTTGGACAGACAGCTTACAACAGAGGATGTCTATGTGGCCAATGAAAGTATAAAAAGGTGTTCGGCCAGGTGCCGTCTAGGGAAATGCAAATTCAATTCACAATGTGCCACCAGGACACACACATCAAGATGGCTAAAATAAAATAGACTGACAATACCACGTATTGTGGAGCACATCAAGGAACAGGAACTCTCGTACACTGCTGAGGGGAGTGTAAATGGGTACAACCACTTTAGCAAACAGTTTATGCATATCTTCACCTTTAGAAGAGATGCCAATCTATGATCTACCAATTTGACTGGTAGATAGACATGCATACCCAACATGTACACGGGTATGTATATGTGAAATGTGCACACGTGTGCCCCAGAAGCCGTGCAGAGAGAGTTCATAGCAGCCCTAGGCACCTGGCAAATACTGGAAACAACATAAACCCATATATAGCAACAGCAGAGGAAGTAAATAAATAATAGTGTATTCTCTTGTCTGAATGGAGTATAGCCACGTGCGACAGCATGGATGAGCGTTACAAACAGAAGGAGTAGAGGTCAGAGTGATAAAATATAAAGTAGGGAAGGGGCACACAGGGGCTTTTGGGGTTCTGGCAATACACTATTTTCTTGGTGGTGTGAATATTTGCTTTACAGTATATCAGAAACTTACATTTATATTTTATAGTTTTTACTATACATGTGTTATATTTCACAAAAATCTTTTTAAAAAACTTAATACCACCTAGAACAAAGAAACTTGAAGTAGACAGTTTAGAAGTACGGTAATTTTTTTAATGTAGTAAATAGATGGAATCTATTAGGCTCCTGGGGCAAAATAAAGTGAAAATATAAATTTATTAAATATAATTTGTGCATGTGTGGAGGCAGGATAAGGGAAAGCCGGGAAAGGGTAGGTGTCACAGTTGGTGAAGTAGAAATATCACTGGATTTGGAATTTGAAAACCTGAGTTTACGTCTCATTTCTTCCTCTAATGTGGGACGTTGGGCAAGTCACTCCATCTATCTAACCTTCAGTGTTCCCACCTGTAAGATGGGGAGAATAGCACCTCCCCACTTCTGCCTTATAGGGTTGTTTTGAAGATATAAACTCTGAAGGAGAAAATGTGTGTGAAGTGCTTTGTCAAGTTCTTTGCTAAGGTTCCTAAGAGTAGAAGTGTATCTGTGGCCCTGGTCTTGTGGAGGATGCTGGTCGGAAGCTGCTGGTGTTTGGCAGCAGATGCGTGTCTCCTTACAACAGACATCCTGGAAGCTCACTTATCCCGGTGATCTCTGTCCCAGGAGAGAATAAAGTTGATGAACCTTGACCTCAGGGGGGTATTTCTGGTAATCAAAAGATATCAAGGCTCAAAAGCAAGATGCATTTGTTGACCAGCTTGTTTTTTGTAAAATTTTCATTTAATATTTATAAATTTGATTTTTATAGGCTCCACTCTTATTGTAGACTGCAACATAACAGACACGAGGGAGAATACAAATCTACGGTGTTGGAGAGTCAACGACACTTTGGTGGACATTTACTACAGTGATTCCAAACGAATCCAAGAAGGAATCGAGTAGGTGGTTTGTTTTTGTGGCTTCCCTAACAGCTAGCACGGATTTCTCCATTTAAATTTTTTGGTATGAGTACAGCTTTTTTTAGATGGTTCTCACCGCCTCCTCATCAATCCTTTTGGCTTGTCTTTCAAAGATCTTCTCAGGGCTGTGTGTGGTCAAGCATCTGGTTCAAAGAGGTCTGAGATGCTCATGTTGTCAATCCCACGACGTCCTCGTTAGAGAGATGAGGCAGAACATGAAGTATGACCGTCAAGCAACAAGATCAACTTTTCTCAGCTACTATGTAAAACCAGTCTCATTCCTATTTAGGCGTATTATGAGCCACAGGGCTTCAACGCTTAAACAGCAAAGTGGGCAGCAGCACGGGACTCTTGGGGGAGACAGTGCATGATCATTAGCTAACTGAGTGATGTCAAACAAGACTAATGAAGTCAGAGGCAGAAGAACTTGTGTTGGGCCTCACAGGGTAGTAAGTTAGGATAAGTGGAGAGAAATAGGGGAAGACCCTTGAGGTAGGGATGATGTCTGTAATTAATAGAACCACACCCTCATCACTGTCCAGAAGAAAATGCAAATTTGGAATTACTCAATCCACACACTTCACTGAGCCACTCAGTGAAGTGTTCTTAGGGTTAAAACGATGGCCTGAAGTGCTCTCGAGGAAAGAACTTTATTCTCCAGATGAAAGCTAAAATACAGTCGTGTGTCGCTTAACGACGGGGATACATTCTGAGAAAGGCATCGTTAGGCAATTTGTCGTGTGGACATCGTAGAGTGTCTTTACACAAACCTAGATGATATAGCCTACCACACGCCTAGGCTATATGATACTAATCTTATGGGACCTCTGTCGGATATGTGGTGTGTCATTGACCGAAACGTCGTTACACAGCGCATGACTTTATGTTGGGTAAAATAGGACACGTGTATTAATGACTGGCTCTTTTCTTTTATAGATCCCACATTTCTTTTCAGGACCATAATTTTTACACAGTGAACATAACCTTCTTAGAAGTGAAAATGGAAGATTATGGCCATCCTTTCATGTGCCATGCTGGAGTGTCTGCTGCATACTTCACGTTAAAACTCCCAGGTAATGTTCCAGTGGGTTGTATACTGCTCAGAGTGTTCAAAATGATGGCAAGGAAACACATTTGAAAGAGGAGTGATATTAAATACTCGCTGTGAGGCAACAGAGTGGTATTAAATAGATACTCTCAATATGAGGTCTAGGGAACTGATGAAATATCTGACAGTGTTCTTGGGGTAAGGCTGTGACTTTTTTGCAGTATACTTTGAAAGTGCCATATTAATATACTTTGAGATTTTATGCATTGAAATTCTAGAAAACAGAAGTTTTCTTTTGTTAAACCTGATTGTTGAACTTTTATAACCGGGTGCTTGTGATTTTCAGCTTTTAGATTGTTTATTTGAAATAATTTGATATGAAGATAAAGTGCTTATGTATATTTTTGTCATGTGACTTTGTAAAATTATCTATAGAGGCGGAATTCTGATATTTGAGCAGGAGGGCTTCAACCTCCATGTGTGTACACAAATCACACTCTTAACACTGTACAGAGAGTGTGCATTACCCGGTGGAGGTGGTCGAGCCAGAGGATAGATAGTGAAGGATGAAATCATAATCTGGAGAACAACTTTAAAATTCTTAACATATCAGGGGAAGTGGATGAAGTACTTTATAAGATGTTGACCTGTGGTTTACCAAGACAGCTTCTTTTTTTAATGCTGTTAATATCAACTTTTTTTTTTTTTTGTCTAGCTACGTGCATGAGAGAGGGCTCGAATTTGCCAGTGTCCCTTAAGGATCAGTCAGACCCATGTTTGCATGCATCTAGCTCAAGTCCTACCGGAAATGTTTTTTGATAACTTAACATAGAGCATTAGTTCGGTGGCTGCTGTGTGGAGCTAGCAAATGTGCCTTCGCCCTGCCAAGTTCCTGGCCTCATGAGTGTCCATCACCCCCCTTTGAATAGTGATGATCAGGGGTGTGTCCACAGTCGCTTGCAGTCCTGAGGTGGGCTCATTCTCGACCTCATTTCCGTGACCTGGAGGCCCGGGTGTCTCTGTCCCAGCCGCCTAAACTGTGAGTGAGGACGCAGCACCGCCTCTCCTCACTCTGGGCCCACAGGGCACCCTGTTGGGTTGCATCAGGTGGAAGCAGCCTTGGGCTCAGTTGAGAAACCTGTGCTTGCTCAATTCATCTCTGTTCCTATCAATACTTATTTCACGCCTCACATTCAGTGTATTTTTAGACATGTGCACTGTTTCGTTTTCCCTAATTTCTTAGGAACATTACTCTCTTACATCCAAGCCTCATGCTGGTTTACTTGGGGCCTCATGTTGGTTTCCTTGGGGCCAGCTTCTCTACTTGATTTCCTTATTTTTGTTGAAGACACCTCCAGAGCTGAATCTTATTTGGTTTGTCTGAAGAAGAGTCACCAGAAAGTTGTTTAGATTGGGTGTACTCTTCTGTGAATTTCTTTTAATCACTTGTTCTCAGCTACCAGCTCAGTGTCAGGATGGTGGTAGCCATATGGACCCAAAGGGCGAATACCAACTTTACCAGGACCTTCAACATGGCACCTGGTGGCTCATCAGTGAGTCTTCCACTTATTCAAATTTCAAAGCTCATACTCCCTTTGAACTTATTCACTGATTTTCTGTTTCCAATTTCATCATCTTTTAGCTCATTTATAGAGCAGAGGGTATCAACACTCCTGAATATAATGAATGATCAACTCAAGAATTTCAGGCCATTACTCCTGTCTACAGGGGCTTTTTGAGTCTCATAAACAGCGTGGGCGTGGTCTTCTATCATGACCGTTTACAATACCAAGATCCCTGAAGTATACATTAAAGATTACTAGACATGGGTCCTTCCAAAGGGAGTGGTGGCATTGTTGCTCCAAGAGCCGGGAAAGGGCAAAGGGAGGTGGAGAATGAGAGGGAAGGAAGAATCCATCTAATAGTTAGAAGCTAGAGGTTCAAACAAGTGGTCAGGATCAGATTGGGCACCAACGTGCAGAGCAGATCCACTTGGCTGTGCTGGGACTTAATCACTGGACTGGTATTTTTTCAGCATGGAATGTGCTTTTAGTTATCGTCCTTTATTGTGCCATGTGTTTAAAGGCATGCAGTAGTACACAGGCATGTTTTTGGCCTCCAAATGTTTGCAACATGATGTGGCCTAGGGCAGGTTGTGATAAGCTCTTCAATAGGTATTTTAAAAAATGAAAGTACTCTGGGCATTCAAAGAAAAGAGAATTTCCCCTTCTTCCTGCGCCCCCAACACCTTCTAGTGGGGTGGAGGATCAGAGGGAGCCGATGAAGGAAGTGGTGTGTGTGGTGGGTTCTAAGAATGGGTTCCCCTTTTCTAATGCTGTCCTTCCCAGAGGCTCCTTCTCTGGCAGCGCAGGTTTGGGCTGTGGTGAGGGAGAAAGCAATGCTGTTCCTCTTCTCGGATATGTAGGAGCATGTTTTCGGGGACTTGGAGTTCCAGAGGAACTGGTTCCACTCCTTGATCATCTCTTGCCCACTGCTTTTGCCATAATTGCTCTGCAATGTGCTCACAAAGCAGAACAGGGTGTCAACGCCCTTTCTGAGACTGTCTCTGACAGGCACCCAGCCCTGACTCTGTTGGCAGAGAGAGGATGAGGGGAAGTCTAACTCTCGGCCAGTCTTGTAGAGCCAGCAGAGATGGCTGCCAGGGGAGGCAACTGATGGCTCTTTATTTATGACTTGCGTCCTGCTGCTCAATTTCGAGTAACTGGGAAAGCAGTTATAACAGTATTACAATTAAGAATGTGCAACAGAACCACCCGGGGAACTTTCCCAGTAAATGTGCTCAGGCTCCACCTCTGGAGAGGCTAGTGTTGGCTAAGTAGGACTGGCCATGAGGGTTTTGACAGCACTCCTCATGCAATTGGAGCCACGCTGCCTCTACCTTTGGGCGCTAGGGTTCTGCAGAATTACCCTCCCCAGGTTCCCAAGAGCACTTTGTTTCCTAAAATTCATGGTCCAGACCAGATTAGTCTACTCCCATACCTATTATTTATCTGTAAAGAAATATTTAAGCAATATCCTCACTGATATCTAATACAGTTCCATTTGGCATTTGTAATGTGATCTGTATAAGTCAAGTGTATAATTGACTCTTTGTATTATTATTATTATTATTATTTTATTATTTTTCTTTTGCTTCATTTGTAGTTCCAGATTTTCGAGCTTACTTGATAGGAGGGCTTCTCGCCTTGACAGGTGCAGCAGTGTCTGCTGTGTGCATCTACAGCATTTTTAAGATCGACATTGTACTTTGGTATCGAAGCGCCTTCCATTCTACTGGGAGCATAGAAGGTAAGTGTGGGTAACCACTGAAAAGTGCCTCACAATTGGTATCCACTCACCTGTACAACCATTGTAAATCTACTTTATCATAGAAGGAAGGAGGGAAGGAGGGAAGGACGGAAGGAGGGGAAAATGATCAGAGCCTGCCTCACAGAGTGCTGTGAGAGCAACCGAGTTGAAGTCCAGGAAAGCACTGAGCAGGGACCGGGGCCACAAGGGGCTCCTTTGTCATCTGAAGGTCAAAGCAAGCTGCCCCTGCTGCTGTGCCCGGGGTTTCCGTTGGTCTGTGGAACCCGTGTCCTGCCAGCACCGTTCAGCACAGAAATGCCCCAGCGTGATCCTGAAACTCCCAGGAGTAGGCATTTCCCACCACTGTGGTTTAACTCTTTGTACTGTTTTCTTTTTGTCTCAGAATGATGTGATCTAGTAAGGCCTTGAAAAAATAATAAATCTACTTTAAAGTCCCCTAGTTGGATGGAAAAATAAATACAAGGCCAAGAGGCGTCTCTGCAGCTCACATGCGTGGACACACACCAGTGTGTGCCTTTCAAGCCCAGAGACTCGCAGGGTTAAGCAGAGCCAAGTCGCGGGGAGGTGGGTGTTTGAGCACGTTTCATGAGTCCCCATTCCAGAGAAGGACTTTATTACAAGGGCCTGCTTTGCACATAAAACAACCACAGTACATGTTGTCGTCCACGTGTTTGATCGTCCATAGATGTCCTAACTTGGACTTTATTCTAAGTTAAAGCTCAGAATTCCAAATTGGCAATGCTTGAGCAACGTAGAAAGCAATGAAGTCTTTTTTGATGACAAAATTCAGTCGTGGGAATCTGGCTTTGCGTGTGCAATGCAACCCGAAGCTCCTTTAGTGCTGCAGACAGTCAGATCAGACGTGGTGTTTCTGTTTTGGGCTGTGGTCCCTACAGAGGCGGCTCCACATAAGCCCCCCTGTGACTGTGCTCCTGCCTGCGTCTGTTCTAGAAGAGACTTCATTCGCCACCACTGGTGTGAGTGGCTCGGCTGACTGACAGGGGTCTGCATGACTTGGGTGGTATCCTGGAACTCTGGCCGTGGGTTTCTCACTCCCTGACTCACAGCGGCTCCGGGGAGTTTGAGTGCTGGGTGTGTGGGGAAGCTGCCTGACAGTGAGGTCAAGTTTAGCAGGAAGAGAAAAAAGGCACAGTGACTCACCCTGAGCAGGGGGAGCTGAGCAGATGAGAGACTCAGGAGCCCCCCCCTCTGCTGAGACTGGGCTGCAGCCCAATTCGTAACCAGTGGGCTGAGGATTTGGAGATCAGAGCTTTTTTTTTTTTTAATTCAGAAAAGTACGTGTGCACTTCGTGATTAAATTCTCTACAGCTCAATCTATGAGAACTATTCCCCTTTGAGTGTTGGCTTTAACAATGAGCTGGAGATGAGTCCCACGTGCTCTTTCCAGCCCTGTGCCCTTTGAGGATATCTTCCGAGTTATCTGGGAACACGTGGAGTGATGGGCTGCAAAGACAAATGAGGAGGAGACAGACATCGTGTCCTTATGATAAGCTGTTTACTCCAACTAGATTAGTCAAGCTATATAACATGACTAATAATTAGACGTGTATAACTCACAGTTTTATTAAGAGTCATCGACAGGTCTGGCTAAAGTCCATGAGTTCTGTATATTCTCTATTAAGTCATAGGAGTTAATTTAAAAATTCTCCTGCCAGGTGTGCATGTGTGTACAAAACATAAGGATCAGTTTACGAATCTACTAGAGAGATGTGTATATGCCTCACTTTATTCCAAATAGGTTTGTGGAGAATGTATATGTAGAGCAGAACGACTAAAACAAAAACAAAACGGGTACAGTGAACAAGGGGTAGAAAGGTAAAACACAGCCGGGGTAGAGTGAATGACAAATCTTGGACAATTTTTAAAGGTGAGCTCACTTTAGAAGCAAGAGCAAAAGCAATTACAAGATTCATTGCATGCTTTTCACAAAAGCTTTTCAATTGTTCATGAGAGCACATGGCTTTTCTGGGACAACTTTCTCAGGAAAATTTTTTGTAAGGAGTCCTCATTTTTAAAGGGTGTGATGCAATGAACCTTGTCTGCAACAACATTCCCATGGTAAATGTAACAGATTTGATGTGACTTTTCTTCTAGTGTGTTCTATGCATATTAGGGCTAAAACACCAAACCTCATGCAATTCGGTGAAAGCACTAACACAAAGGCCTAATTAAGTCTAATATTTCCACTGGTCCAGTTTGATCAGGTTTAAAATTTAGCAATATTATATTGAAGGAAAGTAGGGAATTTAGAAAAATCTTTAGGCACTTTTTCATAAATAAATGCAAATAAATTTTTGTATTTTTGCCAACAGCCAATAAGGGCACATGCAGATGCTTTAAGGTCAGAAGTAGGGTTGAATCTCCTTAGAAAATGAGAAAAGCTTGGTCATAGCCTGGATCAGCTGTCACCCCACCGTTACGGGGAGGTGGGCTGTGCAAGTCCTACAGTAGGGCCCAGTTTCCTCAGAAAACTCACTAGTCAGTCTACATTTTTGCAATTTTCTTGATGAAATAGACAGGGAAGGGGTGTCCAACTCATCGCTATTTGTTGCTATTCCCTGTTGTTTCTGTAATTGCTGTTGGATGGCTGGGAAACAAATTACTTCAGAACTTCGTGACATAAAACAACCATTTATTTTGCTTGTGGATTCCGTGAGTCGGGAATGTGGATGGGCACGGTGGGCACTGTCTCAGCTCCAGTGTGGGCCTCCGCTGGGGGCTGGCGGTCGATGTTGGCAGTTGGCTGCTGGCCTCCACTCGTCTCCACAGGGCCCTCTCCAGGCTGCCTCTCTGAGTGGGCTACTTTGGGCTTCCTCACAGCATGGTGACTGGCTTGGCTTCCAAGGGCTAGTGTTTCAAGAGCAACAGAGCCAGGTAAAAGCAGCATTTTATTTTATGACTCAGACCCTGAACTTCTAGTATTAATTCTACCACGTTCTAATTGTCAAGGCAGCTATGGAGTCCTATCCAAATTTAAGGGAGTGGAGATGGAGTCCACCTCTTTGTGGGGGTGTGGCAAAGTTCTGGAAGACCATGTGGGACAGGAAATATTGCTGTGGCTATTTTTGGAAAATAGAATCTGACACAGATGCACAGGACTAATCAGGGATAAGCTTTGTGAAGTGTCCTGCTCCCAGTTCTGTCTCAGCCACACCAGAGGGAGCGGGGGACTTGGGTTTGAATCCAGGCTGCAGCCTCATTGGTCTCAGCCTCGCTACTCACAACCTGAGGATACAAATGTGACCCTCACGGCAGACTGTGAGTGGCAAAACCATGAGGTACTGGCATGCAGTTGCCCGAGAGGACCCTTCAAACCAGCCGCTGAAGCGAAAAGCAAAATGGCTACAGCTTGACGTTCTGCTCTATTGGTCGGTAAATTACGAACTGGTCATTTGAAAGAGACGAGAATTCATGCATTTTGAGAATAAGTCAGCAACAAGTCATATTTCTACCCAAAAGCTTAGTCAGAAAGAAAAAAAAAAAAGACCAAAAAATTGGGAGCATTTTTATATTTTGAGTTTTTAAAAGGTGTGAGATTCTCTCTCTCGCTACCCAAATCTCTTCTGTCTTTGAGTTGGCACACTGCACAGCCAGGAGTACCTGTATCCTTAGATGCCTCGCTGAAAAACAGGGGACGTGAAACTCTACCAAAAGAGAGAATTCACTTAGCAAAAATGTGTTTTCTTTTTTTTAAATCAGAGGCAGTGGGAAAAAAGGGAAACAGATTAAGAAAAGAGAGACACTAGTCGCAGGGCCTGGAGCAGAGGTGGCAATAAATCTGGACGGTCACTGTAGTTTAGAGACCAGGAAATACTGTGTTTATTGGGGAGGTTCCATCATGTGGTAAATAGAGTACCAACCCAACCAACCCTTTATCATAACGGGATAAATATTATCATATTTTTAAGTGGGGAAAATTTAATTCCTTCCTAAAAAGTTTAGAAACATAAGGACTTTATGAAGTCTTTTTTTATTATAAATATATATATATATATATATATATCCGTCCTCTGGCTTTAGAAAGTTAAATGTATGACATTAAATTTTAAACAGAAAAATATCCACTTACGGAGTGGCAGTCCAGACAAGTGACATTTAAGACATTCCACATGGAGTTTCAGCTGGGTTAGGTTTTTGCCACCTCTAGACACAATTAGTCATCCCTTTAGTACCTGCCCTATGACCCTAATTTATTAAAAAGCTGAATCTGTTCATGATCTAGAATTTCTCTGTCCCCCACATAGAGACAACCTCTTTGAGCCTCTGTAAAATCAAGCTCCATTCGGCAAGAACTGATGGAGACCCCCCTTCTGCACCAGGTTCTGCTCCAGGCACTGAGGGTAACAGGGGCAAAGTCCCCCCTCACACGGCCTCTTTTTATGATGGGGGTGGGGAGACGGAGAAAGACTGTGCATGCGTGTGAGCACGTGTGTGTGTTACCATCTTCCACAGGATGGCTGGGAATGGCGAGCAGAGACCTGAAGGTTGGCAGTGGTTGATGAAAGAATCAACGAAACAAGAAAATGCTACATGGAAACTCTGAAGTTCTGTTCACATTTTGACGACTATTGTTTAGATAAAAACTAGAAGAATACAGGATTTCTTTCATTAGGCTTAGAACCACCCATCTCTTCAAGTCTGTCCATCACACAAACTTCCAGGAAAAGGAAATAGAAAAGGGTAGCTTCCCTCTCCAGTTCCCACTTGGTTGGCTTTGAATTTCCAAACAGCCCGGAGTGGGAGAATCACATTTTCGCATAAGAAGCCCACTCAAGCCCCCGAGCCCTGCTAAAGCTCCTTACTCATTCTTGTGCCCCTGAGTAGGGCATAAACATCCCCTGTCGTGCCCTTCTCAAGCTCTTCCCCTTCACGGCCTGTTTCCCTCCACTTCCAGCCCCTCATTGTTTTCCTAAACCCTCCCCCCCTTTAAAATCCGGGAGCTGTCCCACATCCTGTGTGCATTTTTTTCAATAACCCCAGACTATGGGGAATTTTCCTTTCTTTCTGTTTCTTCTGTTCATTCAGCCATTTATAATCTTTTAGGGCCTTATGTTGTTTTTATTTCTCAGTCTCTGACCGGTCTGCACAGTTAGGTTTGTGTCTTGTTCGTCTGTACGCTGGTGAGCACTGGGACTGTCACTCGTGGTTGTTCCATGAGGGAGTGCTCATGCTGGTGATGATGCATGCTGCTGTATTCGACTTCTCAGTGCCACCGATGGGGGTGGGAACCCCTCCCTCAGGGCCGATTTGTGGGAATGAGAGCCTGTGGGGTAGGAAAATCTGAACCGTTATTGACAAATTGCTGGAGGCTCAATGTGGACAAGTCTGAGACTTAAAACTCCAGGGGAACCCAGTCACGGGGGCCCCCACACTTCTGTGAGTTTTACCACCAGGAACCTCATCAGGTTCTGACAGTAAATATTGGAGAAAAATCCCTTTGTGCTTCTGGCAGGGGGAGGGGGGAAAAGAACCATTTTGAAATATGGAAGAACACTCTGTTCTTCTTAACCAGGCCTGCCCTCAGGAGAAACTAGTGAATGAAAGCCTCACCCACCAAGGTTTTATCAGAGTCTAACTGACCTGGGGGAAGGCAAATACCCAATAGCCCACTCACTCGAGCCATCCCCAAGGGGGTAGAAAAAACTGAGAAGCACTTGTGAAGTTCACCATGTGAGACCTACTCACAGGGCTTGCAGAATTTCCCCTCCCCGTGCCACAGCATCACTAAACAGCAGCTCGTTTTAGCTGGTACCTCATGTCTGGCTGTCAAGAACTAATTACAAGGCATATTAAAAGGCAAAAAACACAATTTGAAGAGGCGGAGCAAACATCAGAACCAGACGTGGCAGGGAATTTGGAATTATCAGACTGGCAATTTAAAACAACTATGATTAATATGCCAAGGGCTCTAATGGATACCGTAGGCAGCAGGCAAGAACAGATGGGCAATGTAAGCAGAGAGATGGAGATCCTAAGAAAGAATCAAAAACAAATGCTAGAAATAAAAAAAACAACGCCACAGTAACAGAAATGAGGAATGCTTCTTGTGTGCTTATTAGTAGACTGGACATGGCTGAGGAAAGATTCTCCGAGCCTAAGGATATCTCAGTGGAAAGTCCCAAAATGAAAAGCAAAGAGAATAAAGACTAAAAAAAAAAAACAAAAAAACACAACAGAACAAAATATCCAAGGTCCGTGGGACAGCTACAAAATGTGTCACATAGCGTGTGATGGGAATACCAGAAGGAGAAGAAAGGGAGAAAGGAACAGAAATATTTGAAACACTAATGAATGAGAATTTCCCCAGATTAATGTCAAACACCAAACCACAGATCCAGGAAGCTCAGGGAACAACCAGCAGGATAAATACCAAAAATATTACACCCACAGAAAATTAAAGGTAAAGAAAAAAGTCCTGAAAGAAACCAGAGGAAAAAAACCACCTTATCTATACAGAAACAAAGATAAGAGTTACATCCAACTTCTGAGAAACCATGCAAGCAGGAAGAGAGTGGAGTGAATTATTGTAAGTATGAAGAACATGAGATGCGTAGCGTGTTGGTGCTTGGCACCGAGTCGGCCGACTGGGCTCTCTGAAGTCCTTGAACCCAAGCAAAAAGGACATCATGGTAGCAACTCAGGTTTTCACTTTGTTAACATAAGAGTGTTGGGTAGGAATCATTCACAAGCCATCCCATTTCCTTTTCAGATGGGAAGCTGTATGACGCCTATGTCTTATACCCCAAGCCTCAAGGAGAAAGGCCGAGCCATGACGTGGACACACTGGTGTTGAAAATCCTGCCGGAGGTGCTGGAGAGGCAGTGTGGATATAGGTTGTTTATATTTGGCAGGGACGAATTTCCTGGACAAGGTATGTTTTGAGTGAGGTATAAAAATAACAAATGAATAAAAAAGAAAGGAATCTCTTCTTTCCTTCGCTTTTTTTATTTATTTATTTATCTTACAGTTTTTTTCCAGCTTTACTGAGATATAGTTGACACACAACGTTGTGTAAGTTTAAAGTGTACAATGTGTTGGTTTGATACATATAAATTGCTAAATGATTACCATCATAGTATTAGCTACCACCTTCATACCCTCAACGTAGTTACCATTTCTTTTTGTGGTGAGAATATGTTACCATTTCTTTTTGTGGTGAGAACATTCGAGATCCACTCTCTTAGCAACATTTGAGTTTAGGAGACAACATTATTAGCTGTAATCACCGTGCTGTCGGTTAGATCCTTCCTTCACTTGACAGATGGTGGGGACTCCACTTGCCTTTCCCACCAAACCACAGGAGGCTTTACCACAGCCTCCTGGCCCTGTCAGCCCCCCAGCCCAGGAGATGAGGACCCAGATCTCTTCTCTCATTAGGCTCCTTCCTGCAAAGGGATAACTGGGACTCCTGGGTGAAACAATGTGAGTCTCACTTTGGAGGGAGGACGTGGTTAACCCATTCACGTGAACAGGGGGCCATGCCACAGCCTCGGCCGAGAGACTGAAAGGAGACAAGTGGTCATTTGCCCTCATGTCCTTGAGTCTAACTGCCAAATATTTTCAGTCAGTTTGGATATGTAAATCAGCTCATGTTTAAAGCTAATTTTATAAACCTCAAACCCCTTCCCCCCATGCTCCCCTACCTGAATTAAATAGAAGTTGTTTATTTACTACTCCCATTTAAGAGTAGTGTGGCTCTGGGCAATGCCGTTAACATCTCTGAACCTCAGTTGTCTCATCTGTCAGATGGGGATGAGAATGCTTCCTTGCCTCAGCTAAGAGAATTAGATGAGCTAAAACCTGAACAGGGACCAGTATGGAGCTTATATATATACTGCAAATGGCTGAAATTTGAAATAAACATCCTTTTCTAGTCACCAGGAAACCAAGATTACTAGCATTTGGCAGTGGCCTATTCTGAGTCATTTAAAGAAGTTTCTAAGTACTTTGGATCTGTAGGCTGCTCATATCCATGGCGAGACCACAACTCTGCCTTGGCCCACACCTTTCAAGTCATGAAATCATCCTCCAGGAGGAAATGGAAATTTGATCAGTGCTTGCCACAAACATGCGGAAGAGCCCGTATTCATAAGCATATCAATATTGATTCATTCTCTAATTCAGCAGATATTTATTGAGCACCTGCCATGTGCTAGGAAATGTTCTGGGCACTAGAAATATAAAAATAAACCAAAGAGAGGAACCTGCTCTTGGGGTGGCTGCAGTTTATTTTTATACTCTAAGAATAAGGAGGATATAAAACTTGGTCTTTATTTCTAAAAAAGACCAACTTTTATCTATAGCTGGATATTTCAAGAACTGCCCCATCCCCTCCCCAAGGAGGATTTGTTATTTGATTTCAAGTTAGTCCTATAAATCCCGGCCATTTAAATAGCTATAAAACACAAATAAAGATTAATAAAACACTTGAGCTAACTACATTTTTCCTATACTTTTAAAATCTATTTATTTTTTAAAAATGTGTTCATCATCGAAAATATACCAGACCTTCAGCTAAGTGTGGGATACTAAGTTAAGCATGATAAGAACCTTGTTCTGAGCAGGTCACCATCTATGGGTGGAGCCCGTGGGCTGAGGAGAGTGACACACCAACAACTAACTACCGAAAAATGTGATTCATGAGCACAGAGGACCAGTTTTTCAGGGAAAGTCAGGAAGGTTTCACAGAGATGCTAAACGTTAAAAACTTTTGTTTAATCCATTCCTGACTAAGCATGTTTATTTTAAAGTCCCCTTTTTCGTCTGAGCACCCATTTCTAATATTCTCAATAGCATGAAGATCCAGGCTGTGTTAATCATGAGATATTCTGCATCTTCTCTCTCTATTTCCAGCTGTGGCCAATGTCATCGATGACAACATTAAGCTGTGCAGGAGACTGATCATCATCATAGTTCCCGAATCGCTGAGCCTTGACCTATTAAAGAACATGTCGGAGGAACAAATCGCAGTCTACAATGCTCTCATCCAGGACGGGATGAAGGTCATTCTAATTGAACTGGAGAAAGTCAAGGACTATACAGCCATGCCAGAGTCAATTCAGTACATCAGACAGAAGCATGGCGCCATCCAGTGGAGTGGGGACTTCACAGAGCAGTCGCAGTGTGCAAAGACCAAGTTCTGGAAAAAAGTGAGATACCACATGCCACCCAAAAGGTATCCACCATCTTCTTCTGTCCAGCTGCTGAAGCACACGCCCTGTGACCTCACGGCTGGCAAGTGGGAGGCCAGCGTGGGGTTCATCACACCATGATGGAGAGTTTGTCATCACAGGGTGGCTCACAGTTGGACAAGGATGCATTCCATTTGGGATGTCTGCGTGAAGCTTGCCATTGTGTACCTGTGAGAGGGCCTGTGTTGGTTTGCTTGTTTTGATGAGAGCTGCTTCTTTAGAGAAAGACATCACCTCCGCAGCAGGCCCCCTGAACACTCACGAACACTCACGAACACTCACTGAACACTCACGAACACTCACTGAACACTCACGAACACTCACTGAACACTCACGGAGTAGATTTAGCATTTGGGCCCCTGGGGAATGGGTCACGGAGATTGTAGAGCTCAAGTTTGGCACATGGTGTGGCACCCCTGGGGCTGGAGATGGGACCCTGGGCAGTCATGGGCTTGGGGAGGGCTGGCAAGGATAATGGCACTTTTTTCATGCCTGACCAGTGTCCACAGGGCCCTGTTCCTCAGGGAATACTTGCTGTGTCTCTGAACCCCTCTCGCCTCTCTAGTGCAAATAAATAGCTGTGACCACAGTCTTAGTGCATCGATAGTGGAAGTGACTTAGAGATCACCTAGACCAGTGGGGACCACCTCTGGTGCCACCGGATTGCCCTTCAATCACCCTCCCGGTGGGTGCCATGCTTTGAAAGACTTTTATCTGTCAAATCAAAATAAGTAATAATTCACTTATATACCAGCTAGCCTGTGTCAGCCAGAATTCTGAGCTACATATAAGAGATGCAGTTGCTACACCGAGGTGATATAATTCTAGTCCAAGTAAAATGAAGTAATTTTCAGCTAGCCAGTGTGCTCTCATCACTGGTCAGTTTCTGACTTAACAAGTCACAAAGATTTCTGATACTAAAAATTAGCTGTAAACTCTCATCACTACTTTGAAAGACTCTACCTCAAGGAGCGTAGATATAGTCCAACCCTCTCATTTTGTGTTGGATGATACTGAGCCTTAAGAAGTGGGCTGCTATGGTCACAGTGAGGGGAGGCCAGATACTCTATTTTATTATGGGGGCAAGGGACGACCACCAGAAGTGATAAGCTCATTAAGGTCCTTCTAATCAGATGTTTGTAATTTCTTTGCGTCTTGGTTTCTCTCTCCAACATGGGAATCATAATTCCTCATGGAGGACTGGCCAGTTTAAGTAAAATAAGCTATTTCTCATGGTATACTCAAGAGGCAAATGATGGCTACTGAATGTGTTCCTCATTCCATCCCCCTCGTCCTCCCCTGGTCTTTTCTTCTCTGGGTTAGACCTGGAGATCGTCTGTGACGCTGGAGAAGGCTCAGTGGCTCTAGGACATCCGAATGACACTCTGCCCTTCACTCTGTCTTTTGTGGAGCTCGTGTTACAGTGCCTGGCTCATGGGACGTGGACACACCAGAGAGCCTCCTGAGAGCAGGTGACACTGTCTCTGGCCATTTGACTGACCCTTGGGCAGTAAAATCTGGACTACAGTGAGTGGGTGGTCCCTGGCTTGTGGCTTGGTGAGGATTTGGGGAATCCCCCATTCTGATTTGGGAATATACCCCCGGCCTCCCCCTTCCTTCCCAGCTTCTCTCCAGAGAGTGAAGGGAGACAGAGCAGCCCCAGTGTCGGGAGAGAGGGCGAGATCCTGGGCTGTGTCTTCTCCAAGGGGCCCTCAGCACACTTGTGAATTTTAGAAAACTTGAGAGTCTTCTCCAGCGAGTAGCCACTTGTAAATGAATGACTTCATCCACGGGACACCAGTTGAGGCTGTCAGAAAAAAGAAAGCCAGCCCAGCAGAAGCAAAGGTATTTTCTGCGAATGACTTATGGGAGGCCAGCACTGTTGGTGAATTAATTGGATTTTTTTTTAAGTCAAAAAGCTTTCTTCCCTCCCATATGTGTCTTATGTTTCTTTTTGTTTAAAAGTATGTAAACATGTATTATTAATGCCATAATATTAATGAATTATATCAACAAATTGTAATTTCTTTGTTATTATAATGTGTTTTATGTCCTATATAATAGATTCTTGTCTCAAGGGTTCTGGCATTTCGCATATTTGGACACTGTGTCTGTGTTTCCAGGTTTGACTATACTCTCCTATTATCAGACCACGTGCTCTGATCTGGGATTTAGAAAACATAGCCACATGTTTTCAAAGATGGATAAGACTTGTCCTACAGCAGTAAGCCCTGCCCTTTTAAACAGTGCTCCCCTTTGATAATTTGAGGAAAGCTACGGATATCTCTCTAGAAAAAAACGTATATCTGCACCAAATTTTGGCTACAATTTCAGAAGGTTGACAGAATTTTTCAAGTTCATCAATGGGACTTTATAGCAGGTCCATAGGCCCTGGGATGAGGACCCCTGCCGTAGAGGGTCTTGTGTTTCTGGATTTATAAACTGTGGTCTCAGAATTCTACAGGAGTCTACACAGAGCTCCAGTGATAAACACCCTGGGTAAGTGGGTTGTTTTGGGTCCTCCTAAACCCTATTTGGGAAGTAACACAGACTCGGAATTCCAGTGGTATTTGAACAGTCATCCAGCCAGGAGCTCCCTACCTGGCCTGCCACACATGCCTTACAGGTCTCTGAGGGTCTCTACTCTTGGGAAATCTCTTCCTAGTGTGTCCAGAGCCTCGGGCCTCACCTGTTCACCGCAGCGTGCTCTATCCGGTTCTGTGTGGGCCACGACGGGAAAAGACTAGGAAACAAGGACTCTAGTCCAGGCCTCCTATTTAATTTACGAGGGAGGAAACTGAGGCCGGAGAGTGAAGTGACTGATCGAGAGACACTCTGTTATCAAGCGGAGCCGGGCCAGTCACTGCGGTCTTCCAACCTCGCTGTGGTTCTGACCCTTTAGTCCTGTGACACCAGTGCTGGCTGGAACTGAATGGGCGATCTTGTAGAAAGCCGGACACTGACTTCTAGAAGTACGGAAGGAGCTCTGAGTGATTCCCCTCGGGAGGTGGGTGTCGGGAGTAACCTTGGGCTGCACTCACTCTCCCCGAAGCCTGCAGGCCAGACGAGTGGGTGAAGGAAGTGCCTGAGATGGGGACACCCAGCCGGCACTATGTCCCCATCCTGGGCCTCCAGAGGACGGCGCCGCGTCCCCCTCCTCCAGCCTCCAGCCCGTCCTGCCACCTCTCAGACCTCGTTCTCCTCTCGCTCAGACACTCAGCGGCTATGACCCCCAACAACCTGTGCAGGTCCTGGAGCTCGTCCACTTCTGGCCACCCACGTCATCCAGCACCCCTGAAATGAAACTTGATGGTTTCCCGAAGACTCTGCTTCACTCGCAGCCCTGCGGGATTGCTGCAGCAGGGGATCAGAGGCGCTCTTTGGTTGGGGATGTGGGAGAGAAGGGCTTGAAGCTGCCTTTGTATAGAGAGCCCTTCACCTGCGATGGAGAAACCATTAAGGACTCACGCAGAGAATGGGCTGAGTCCTAACAGAGATTCGAGGGAAGATTTGCTAGAATTCCTCCCACCTAACCACTGAGGTTCCTCAATCGTACCCACAGTGCAGTCCTTATAGTTTGCATTTCCACTGTTTTGTACATGTTCTTTAATATTTTATCTCAGCAATCGAACACATAATTAAGATGCTGAAGATCAAGAAGTGTAAACCTCATACTAAATATTTGCCATTCTGAACACTTAGTGATTCTTATCTCATTCTCGATTTTATTATCACTAATTTCAGCACTTTCATTTTTAATTTCCACTGGTTTTTAATGAAAGAATGGGGATAAAAGGTGGTAAAAATACAAATGAATCAGCCTGGCTTTGCTACTGAAATGTAGGTTGGCAAGCGAAGGCTCAAGATAGTCATTTGTCAGAGGATGAACTTATGTCCAAATTTGCATAAGAAAGAAGTTTTAGGTGTCAGTGGATAATGGACAAAAAGGCAGTTTATCTGAAAGCTGAAGGCCACCTCTAATTCTCTCATGTTTCACCAGCTGGGCTTGGTGAGGTGAATGGGGCCTTGTCCCCAGTCCTCCTGGGATAACCTCAGGGTCCAGGGACTGACCTGGAGTTGGGATGAGAGGTGAACGGGTCAGAGAAAAGATGAAGTGCAGGTGTCGAGCCCCTCAGTTACCTTTTGGTTCACCTTCTTATAATGACTGAGTCAGCCACAAAACCCACTTCCCTTGGTCTCTCCCCTCAAATACCGTGAGTCTGCCTGTGAGAAAGTCCTGGGTGAAGACTGAGTCACATCAAATAAAGGGTCCAGGAAGGTCTGGTGTTTTCCCAGAAGATCAACTGAGATGCAGATACGCATGTGAAAGTGCTTGGCACATTCCACAGCACTACAAGCAGCTGTCTGAACAACGTGGGCCACGGGGACTAGAGTCCACGGCCCCTCCGTACCTTCCACCCCTGCCCGGACCCCACAGTGACTCAGAGGGCTTCCTGCTGTGTTCTGGTCAGTTGACCTTTCCTCAGCTCTCAATCCTGCTTCATGTTTATAAACTTTCCACCAACACATGCTTGTCTGGTTGATTTATCCAGGGCTGTATCTGGAAAATTAAGAAAGTGGAAAATTCCGCCCTGGTTTCCCTTTTAGAATAGAGACTATGCTACAGATGACAAATCCATGACATCTGGAATAAGCGGCAGTGGGGGGGGAGCCTGGCTCTCAGAGCCACACATCTCCAGTGGCACTCTTCTGGGGCCCCTGGTGGAGGGAACTCCGTGTGCTACCCCCCCTCCCCTCCCAGACCCAGGCAGCTGCTAAGGGATGCTGCCATTTGCCTTAATAGAGTTAAAGCCTAGTCCTCTGAGGGACACAGTCTCCACTTGGGAAGGGAAATGAGACCTTGTGGTCCTGGCTCCCGTCCTGCCCTCACCTTTCCTCTGAGGCTCCCTCATCAGTGACAGTTGCCACCCACCTTCCCACCTTTGATGCTCTGGCCTAACCACCCTTGACCAATTCCTAGGAGCACACCTGACATCGCAAGGACCCAAAGGATTGTGCAGAAGGAGAAGGGATAACAGAAGAGAGTGGAAGCCACAGGGCTGTAGCATCAGATGGTTTGGAGACAAGACGGAGATTTTCTTGTCTTCAGCAGGAGGCTGCTTAGCCTCCACCTTCCACCGCCTCAGAAGAAGAGACAGCACATCTTTTCTGATTTCAGGCCCAGAATGGGATCCAGGGAGACAGGAGCGCGCTCTCACACCCGGCGGAAACACGCCGCACTAGA